CTCATTTGAGTCCCGTTTCTTGTTTTTGAGGTTTTTGTTGTTCTCCCGCCCTGGCAGGGGGTCGGGCTAGAAGATCTACTAGGTCCCTTCCGACCCTTAATCTATGAAACTATGAAAACATCCATACAAAAATGAGTAACAAGCTTTCTTTAAAGGAAAGGCCCTGAGAGACTTCATGTAGATCCCAGTCCTGCTACACCATGAACAAACCACAAGTAAAGCTCCATCTCAGGCACAGGAAGACACAACTATGGGATCTGTATAAAGATAATGGCTTCAGTTCTTTAAACAAACAAGCTGCTATTAACTGACCCAGTGGATGACAGGAGAACAGTTGAGTCGGTGCCTACAAGTAGTTAACTACAAAGATCTATTCCATTTCCCAGGCTGTTCTGTTCTTGAAAAGAATATAATGGAATATTATCAAGAATATCAACATGCACAGAAGGGGTAAAAGCAGGTGTCCAACAGAAATTGAAGAAGAGTCTGAGTCTGCACTGCCTGAGGCCTAAATCGATGCAATTATTTTCACACAGTTCTAAGGATGTGCATATATAAACAGGTACTGAATGACAAGTAAATCTCTGTGCCTGTTAGTGTAATTAACAGTCTCTTCTGCTTCTACAGCATTTACATTCTCTAAATATACCAATGAAAGACTAGTTTACTTCATTTTGTTCCGACTGACAAACGATGTTTTTTAAAGTAGAGCAGATGAAAAAGTAACTGCTAAAAACAGCAAGAATGTGCCTATCAGACATTGGTGAGGCATCCTATAACCAGCATACATCACTTACAGCATTGTACAATCTAACAGGGGTGTGCGAAGTGGGCAGTACTTGATTTGGATTCGGCCCAACTTGGGGGCAGTGATTCAGTTTGCTGATTTGGATCACTGTCCCAATTCAATTCGGCCAAATCTGAAGATTTGATTCCAATTTGAAGAATCAGCTTTCTATGTTTTTTCTATGTACCTTGAGGTACCAGACGTGGCTGGTGAATGCTGAAAGGGGGGGGGGGGTCCCCGCATGCTCAGAGCAGACCCAGAAGTGGACTGGGAGTACTTCCAGTCCACTTATGGGTCTGCTGCCAAGTGTGGGGTGGACCCCCCCCACCCCACATCCTCCCAGCTCGGTGATCAGCCATGGGGAGGACTCTATGTGCCCCCCCCACCGACCTAGGAGGCACCAGTTGCCAAGCCAGGGGGTGGGGTCCTCCACATACTCCGTGGCGTACCCAGAAGTGAACCGGAAGTACTTCTGGTCCACTTCTGGGTCCACTGCTGAGTATGCGGGGGACCCCTGCACTCCTGTGGGATGTTCCATCTGCCCCACCATCTCAGCATTCATGAACCGTGCCTGGTACCTCAAGATATGTAGAAAAACCATATAAAGCTGCGTTTATGGCTGAATCATTGAACCTCTCCAAATCGGAGGCTTCTGATTTGTTTCAGAGAGATTAATGGGGCTCCTGATTCGATTTGGATTCGGAGATTTGGCCGCCAAATCAGGCTGAATTTTCTCCATATCAAATCAGAAACCAAAGCTTTGCACAACCCTACAATCTAAGAATGCACCTATCAGAGACAAGATTAATTACTTTACCACATCTGAGAGACACACTGCTCATGGTAGATACACACAGTATAAAAGTATCAAAATAATAGAAAAGCCACTAGAAAATGAATTGAAAATAGCTTGCCAAATATTTGCACAAAAATCATTTTGCAGTAAAATATTAATTGAAATGTAAATCGTTATAATTTATTTTTAACATTATAAAGTCTTCCAACAAGTTTATAGCCTTTGTGCCTCTTAAGACTAACTTAACATACAATTTATAATGAATCCATGCATTTAATTTAATTTTAGTTGTACAAACCAAAAAACTAAATCAGACAGGGAACTACTATACCTGAGCGATGATTTGTTCTCCATCATTGTATATTTTGGTGCCTATAACATCCACCACTTTTAAGCGTTCTGATACCTTTATAAAAAAGGCAATATTAGAAATATTCCACTAATATTACAAATATAATATGTAGCTAGTCTAATGCCTGTTCCTGTGACTATATACACAGTTTTATGTCTTTATCTGTTTGCTATGATTATTACCAAAACACAGATAAAGAGGCCTCTGATAATACATTTCTGATTTACAGGTGATGTAACTGAACTTCTATTTTTGGACTGAAAGTCTTCATGCTCCAAAACTTCTGATACTATCAAGTACAGCCATTCTCCAAGTTGATATGCATTGGTAGATCCTCTGTTTCTGGAATGCCCTGCTGTCTGCTAGCTCCAGGGTCTGCCCCTACAGTCAACATGTGACTAAGCTTTACACAGAATCCAAAATGGGCAATGTTTTTGTCAGTTTTACAAATAACCAAAAAAGAAGATTCTGTTCCAAAACAGAGGTGTGAAAAGTTTAGAGGAAGTTTATTCTAAGTTAACCTCCCCAGCCATAGAAAGTAGAAGCTCATAACGCAGCTCAGACACATTTGATAAAATAATGCAAAAGTAAACTTACTTCTAAAGATTTAAGGAATGGCAATGACTCAATAAAATTTTCATACATTCTTCTCTTTTTGGCATTGTTTTTTACAATGATTCTCCGGAACGTTAACCTGTCCTGTAAACACAAAGAGGAAAAAAACCCTTGTATTAATGGAAAATGTTTTCTGGGTGGAAAATGCTTATGAGAGACAGGTGATAAATACATATTTAATCTGATCAATCATTAGAAGGCAATTTTATGTGCCTCAGAAATAATAAGATGCATGGGAAGAACCAGTTTCCTTTTAGAAAGGGTCATTTGAAACATTTGAAATCATACAATTTCAGATACTGATGTTTGGATAAGAAATCCTTGAAGTCAGGTGACTTCCCAATTTTGTTTTTGTTTGCATTCCCTTTTTAAGAATTTACCTTCCCTTGGAAGAGTCTTTGGGAAGGCTTTCAAACATACTTATAATCACTCTCTGCCCCTTCTTCCCTGCACACCTGCTGCTGGTTGAGCTGTAGGATACAGATAGAAGTGCAGCTCCCAGCTAACTCAGAACCATTTCTGCAAAGCCTTCTGAGTTACAAGGTTACCCCAGACCAAACAGAAGTTCCCTGCCCGTTCCAGGGAGAAGGGGAATCTAGCTGTGGGGTGGGAGCCTGCAGCCAGATTCCCATAGCAACAGCTAGGGCTCACTGCCAGCGCTCGCTGGTTTCAGAACGGGAGGGTGGAAGGCAGTCAAAGGAACTTGTTCTTGGGGCTCCCCAGCTGGTGCTGAAGGGTGGGGTGGGTGAATTGGAGCTCCCTCACCTCAGGGAGGGTGCTCCAATATACCCACCCCACCCATCAGGGGGGACTGAAAAACCCCAGACTGAACTCTCCGTGCACCTTTTCCTCTTCTCCTGTTCTGAAAACAGGGACAGGCTGGAAGCTCAGCAGACAAGTTACAGAAGAAGCTACATTTTGAAACGTCTTTATCTGATAACACGTGCAATGAGCAGTCAGATTTTCACCCAACTGTCCATTTCTAAAGCTATCTGTAGCTGTGCACTTGTGTTTGGTCACAGCTATGAATTGCTTTTTGTGGCCAGATTAGGCAAAAAGTGTCACTTCTGTATGCATCCTCAGGGTGCCTATATATGTGTAGCGAGGTTGCTCTGACATGCTGTAATTACATCACATCAGAGTAGGCTCAATTAATCAAGTCTGCTGGAGTGTGGTAATTACTGCACTGCAGTAGACTCCAGTGTTATGTGTATCAGTGTCCCCAGGCTGAAAAATGGCAGTGGAGGCGCTTTAACTAAAGCTTGTTTGATGAGCTTTAGTTAAAGTACCCCCACCACCATTTTTCAGGACAGTCCTGGATTTCAGAGGCCGGTTCCGGCCGGCTGATGAAAATTAAAATGAACATTATGGGTACGGGGTAGGGAAGAAGAGCAGCACAAACTGTAATAGGAATCTCTAGTAGAAGGCAAAATTGCCCTAAAATCAGTTAGCTTGATTAGTAGAATGGCAATTAAAAAAGGGGGATGTTTGTTAACACCTGTGAAGTGAGGAACAATAGGTCATTAACAGGCCATTAACTCCCTTAGCAGCTTGAATAGTAATACCAGAGCTGCACCACACTGTCCTGCCCTCACCTCTGCCTGCAGCAGCACTGCTGACACGAGCACTGGGGGGCAGGGAGTGGGGAAGGGAGCAGTGTCCTGGATTCCACACTGCCCCACATGGTCACCCTAGTTAAACAGTACTTATGTGGCTACAGTTAGCCATATAAACAATATTTGGGGCTACTTTAACATATTTTAGATTTTATTCAGGCTGGGAAGGTATGTAACTCCATGCAAATCACAGAAAAATGGAAAAGAAAGGCATCAGACTTTTGTCCAAGTGGTAACAGCATTTGCTCAAGAAGTACCTCCCTGGCGTAGATGGGGTTTGAACCTGCATCTCCAACTTCCCAGCAAAGTGTTTTAAACAGCTGTCAATGGGTTAGGCAGGGCTAAAAGCATCCCTCACCCCTTCATTTGAAGCTGGTTCATTGTGGAGCCAAAAGTGAGGGGAGATAATGTGGGAACTGAAAGAACAGCAGGCTAGAGGGAGTCTGGCCTGCAGGCTCTGTGGCTCAGTGAACTGGGCCCTGCTCTTGAAAGTTTGGGGCCATGGCTTCTGCTTCCTGACATTTACCTCCAATGCTGTTTATGTTTTCTGAGCCAGATGCAGAAGATTCAACAGCCTGGGGGAGGAATGCTCTTAGCTCTGCCTAGCTCAAGACCCAGCAGGTCAGCCATTCTGTTGGGAAGTTGAAACATCCTTTGTATGAAGGGGCCTAGATCTGAACTTCACAGCCTGGGCAAGTACCCTAACCACAAGCCTGCTGGGTTAAATGCTGGGAGAGTTTTCTCCCTAGCCACTGGTCATGTATATCTGCAACTAACATTTTGGGGATGCAGATGGAATTATATACCTTTCTGTGAAGATTAGGATCACAACAGAGGGTAAGAGTGCATTTTTACGCCTCTCAATAGCACTTGATGTTGGCTACCACCAAGACTGGGGACTTTTTGCCTGGGATGTACCAGTGCTCCTACTGGGACCAAAGCCAGGGGTTCCTGGCTAGAGGGCCTTGCCCCTCCACTCAGGGTCAGATCAATTGCCATATTTGGGGTCAGGAAGGAATTTTACCCCACGGCTAGAATGGTACAGACTGTGGAGGGTTTTGCTTTCCTCTGCAGCTGGATATGTGGCTTCCTACCTGGGATCCCATGAGCAGACACTGACAACCTTTTACAGAAACAGGACATTGGCTGCCATGATTCCCCTGCTTTATCTGTGGCATGTTAGGGTGTTATATCTGTGTTGTGTCAGGGTAGATGGTAGTTTTCTGTAGAGTTTAAATTATGGATTGTATAGGATGCTTTGGATAGGGATGATCCTGCCTCAGACAGAGATTAAGCGACCTCTGGAAGTCTGTTCCAGCCCTGCTTCTCTATGATTATTTTGAGCACACTCATAATGGCAAGCTGAGCAATGCAAAAGGGAAGTAGGATCTAAAATCCATGTAAATGGCCCAAAATACCATTCTTGAGGCTAAATTGCTACTTACCTGCCTATGGGGAGTTAGATTTGGGCCTAGATAAGGATTATAATCCATGCCAGCCATGCTCAAGCTGCTCTAACAGAAGCTTAGCAGTCTAGCACCTCACTGATCAGCAAGGAATGTGGGCTCTAGATCTGTATATAAACTCAGATAGAAAAAGGCATTTGTAAAGTACAGAATATGAATGTAAGGTCTGCCACTTCGGGAAAATTTTGGTAAATTTATTACTTTTGTGTGGATTCTGGATATAATGAACCTCACGCTGGAGTTTTTTTACTGTAGCCAAATGCATTCATGTTTAGTGATATTTAGAAATACATGGTAAAATAATTGTCAGAAAAACTGCAATTGGAAAAATCATAGCTAACTCTTAGGAGATACTTAGGAAGCTTCCAGTATTACTTTTCTTGGTGTTCTTACAGAAAATTACAATTACCCTTCTGATGCTTAGGTTTGCTTAGCTGTTATATTCAGTGCCTGAGCAGACAATATTTTTCCAGACTTTCTCAGGACATTTTAAAACAATACATTATACTCTGTTTTTCAATCAATGCTGCTATACTTGTCTGCCATACAAGTTTTAATGCATTTTATGTAAATATAAAACCATTTAAATAAAAAATAGTAAAACAAAGATGTCACTTACCAGACCCCAAACAGCACCAGGAGAGGTAGCTATTATTGTAGCTGCTCTGGGTGTATTGTACATTAAAGCCAACTCACCAAAGCTTCCACGGTTATCATAGGTACCAACACATCTCCCAACACCATCACATTTTACATAAATATCGTATGTCCCTCTGTTAACAAATACACAAATGCAGTAAGTATGCTTCTTGCCATTCAGCAACTCAGTACTACCTTGTTTTAATTTATTCTCTATGTATTCCACCAAAGATAATGTTCTGGAAATATGGTTTTGTTTGTTTTCCTGGTAGAGAACAGCTTGCAGAGACATCACTCATTTGTGTACACCCTAAAACAGTTGATATTTTTAAGCAAAATGATTATCAATTCTTAGTGGCGGAGTGGTAGTTTTTCCTGAAAAACTGATGTTCAGAATTGCATTTACAGCTACAATTGAAATGAAAATTTCTGTGTTTTCTTGAATATAAGATGACCCAGATTATAAGATGACCCCCCCCAATAAATAGATTCTATATGTGAAAACTTTATACATTTGATATAATTTTCCAGGTATAGAATCTAATTTTTGGAGGTTTCTCTTGAACTTATCGCCCCTCCCACTGCTGCAGCAAGGAAAATCAATCTGTGGAGTCAGGTAGCCCCTATGTCCTCTGCCCCCTGCAGCTCTTTCTCCCTTTCCTTACTCTCAGACCCTGCTCTCCCTAAACACATGGAAGAGAGAAATAAATTTGAAATAACTGATCTTAAAATAAGCACAGCTGTAGTAATTTGCATATAGTACCCATAGACTTAGTTCATCCAGAATTGATACATTTTAACTTCTTTGAAGCTGCTGCAAATTTTATCACAGGTACTCCATAAACACACTTAAGTAGCACTTTGGCATCTACTTATAATATAAACTATGCATTATATTAGTTAAAAGCCAAAAGGCTCATGTTTCACCATATAATTCACTGGGCTGGGACCCAGCAGAGTCCACAGCATTTGGTGACAGAGGATGCAGAAAAGGCTGAAGTACTCAATGCCTTTTTTCACCTCAGCCTTCACAGACAAGGTCAGCTCCCAGACTACTGCACCAGATGGCACAGTTTGGGGAGGAGATGAGCAGCCAACAGTAGTGAAAGAACAGGTTAGGGACTATTTAGAAAAGCTGGATGTGTACAAGTCCATGGGGCTGGATGGGATACACCCAAGGGTGCTGAGGGAGCTGGCTGATGTGACTGGAGAGCAACTGGCCATCATCTTTGAAAAATCATGGCAACAGGGAGAGGTCCCAGATGATTGGAAAAGGGAAAACATAGTGCCCATTTTTAAGAAAAGGAAAAAGGAGGATCCAGAAAACTATAGACCAGTCAGCCTCACCTCAGTCCCTGGAAAAAGCATGGAGCAAACTCCAAGGAATCCATTTTCTAAGCACTTGGAGGGGAAAATGGTGATAAGGAAAAGTCAGCATGGATTCACCAGCGGCAAGTCATGTCTGGCCAACCAAAAAATGTCTTTACTGTCCGAGCCCCCAAGACCTGGAA